TACGAGGATTATATTAAATAAGTGCTCGAAAGACTCCTGAAATCACGGCTTTTCATTAAACTTAGTAAATGCGAGTTCCATATAAAAGAAGTGATATTCCTAGGCTTCATCGTTAATAAGGAAGGAGTTTTAATGAATTCTTAGAGAGTAGTAGTCATTCGAGAATAGCCTATTCCCTAGATATTTAGGGATATCTAGATATTCCTAGAGTTTACTAATTTCTATAGGGGCTTCATCCGTAATTTCTTAAGAGTGGTGGCGCTAATTATAGACCTACTAAAGAGAATAAAGTATAGCGTAAAGAAGAGCCCTCTAGAATGGACCCTAAAAGTAGATGAGGCTTTTTAAGAGCTTAAGAAGCGCTTTAAAAGAGTCTCTCTACTCCATTATTACGATCTAGATCTAGAGATAAGAGTAGAGATCGATGTCTCTAGTAGTGAACTAGAAGATATATTATTCTAGAAGATTACTATTCTCTTATCTAAAATGAGTAAGAAACCTTTGTTTATTTAGAAATCTATAGCCTTCTACTTCCGTAAATATAAATCTAAGGAAATTCGGTACTCTACGGATAACTAGGAAATACTAGCGATTATATACGTATTTAAGGAATGGAGATATTATCTAGAAGCCCCCTCTAAGATAGTGACTATAGTTATTAATTATGAAGCGCTAACCTACTTTATGAATATAAAGGTGTTAGCTCGAAAGAGATAAATACGCTAGGTAGAAGACCTAGTAGCATTTAATTTTCGTATTAAATGGAGGGTAGGTAAGAAAAACCTCGCTGATGGCTTATTTAGAAGGCCTAATTATAAGCGAGTAATTTTAAGTACTAATAAATAGGGCAATATGCTGCATAAACTTATAGCCCTACGCTTAGAGCCTTCACCCGAATCGGGTGGAGACGGTGAAGTACCGATATTAATTAGCGCTGTTCGAATTGCGATATTAATAAGAGCGTAGTCGTTACGAAAACCGCATTTAAGGGACAGTGAATAAAACACTATTTTTAGCCCAATATCTTCTGCTAGCGAAGTAAAGCTAGAGTAGAAGAGCAATGAGTTAAATGAACTCATCGAGGACGGTCGCCTAGTAAATGTAAGCTAGGCGACCCCTAAAAGAGAAAGAGCGCCGACTTTCTCACCCGAATTGGGTGAGAGAGCAAATCTAAAAGCTTAGATTCGGGAGGCGCAGAGTCTTGATCGGTTCGTGGACGCACGAATGTGAATAACCTCCGTAGATAAAGGGCATTAGACACTAGATTAAGCGGAAATAGTCCGACGAAATGGACTTATTTATATTTCTAATAATTTAACGATTAAGGCTGAGATTCTAAGGGTTAATTATGATGATCCTTAGGACGGGGGTCACTTTAGGCGAGCTAGAACGCTCGAAGTTATTTAGCGTTATTACTAGTGACCCAGAATAAAGAGGAACGTTTATGAGTATATGGATACTTATGATGTGTGCTAAAGAATGAAGGTTCCAAGGCACAAGCCTTATGGAGAGCTAGTCCCTTTAGCTCCGCCGATGAAGCTCTAGTAAGGTATTGCCATAGACTTCATCGTAGGGCTACCACCGTCTAAGCATTAGAATAGCGTCTACGACGCGGTGCTAGTAGTAGTAGATAGGCACTTAAAAATGGTGCGTCTCATTTTATGTAAGTAAGATATAACGGCCCAGGAATTAGAGACGATCTTAATTAATGAAGTCTTCTCGAGATATAGAATATCTAAAATAATTATGAGTGATAGAGACTCCCTATTTACGTCGAAGTATTAGGAGACGATGTGCTATTATCTCACGATTAAGAGAAAGCTATTAACCGCTTTTCATCTATAGATAGACGGATAAATAGAGCGGCTAAATTAAGTGCTTAAATGCTACTTAAGATACTATCTAAATAACGAACAAAGTAACTAGGCTAAACTACTTAGCAGTGCAGAATGGACTATTAATAATAGCCGGAATAGTACGATTAATACTATACCGTTCTAGATAGTGTATAACTATAAATCTAGTATAAAAAGAAATCTTAAAGATCCTTATTTACTCGAATTAGGTAGAAAGGAATCGCTCTTAATTTATAAGAGAGTAAGATAAAATGCTAAGAAGGTTTTAGCTATACGAGCTTACTTACGAGAATCCTAGTAAAGAACGTAAGAAAAGGTTAAGAGCTACTATAATTAGCACCGTAAGAATATAGAATTTATAGCGGGCGATCTAGTTATGCTCTCAACGAAAAACATTAAGTTATATAAAGCTAGTAAGAAACTCTCTAATAAGTATATAGGGTCTTTCCACGTTAAACAACGAATAAGTAAAAATATCTATTAACTTACTCTATCTAAGCGTTATGAACGAATTTATTTAATATTTTACGTTTCACTTCTTTAAGCTTATCATTAACGCTAAGGAACTCTTCCTTCTTCATCTATTAATATAGATAAAGAGGAAGAGTTCGATGTAGAATAGATTCTAGACGCTTAAGAAAAGGGAGTAAGACGACGTTAGTTAGTTAAATAACTAGGGTGGAACTATAAATATAATACATAGGAACCTAGGAAACACTTCACCGGTGCCCTTGTGCGAAAAATAATTAGAGAGTTCGACGAAAAGTACGGCGTACGTACTTAATGAGAAATATCTCTCATCTAAATCGAGTAGGGGTATACTTAGTTTCATTATAAAGGGCTACTTATAATCTACGCTACGTAAAGGCGATACCCTTATAGATCGTTTTAAGAATCCCGACCTATCTCTAAGGATAAGTATTGCTCTACTATTCATATATATTCTATGTTTTAGAGAGATTCCGACCTACCTTCTAAGGATAATATTGCTCTACTATTCACTTATATTCTATATGGCCCTAATGTTAATACTATAAATAAGAAGAACGACGTCGTCTAGAGATATCGTTGTCCTAGCGGCCATAGGTCTAGAGATATTCTTAATTCATATATTCGACTCATATTTTAGGGCCGCGAAGAGTAGCTAACTATACGTTCGGCACTCTCTAATAAGCGCGGACGACGGCAGCGAAAGAGAAGAAAGAGATAATAGCCTTCTTTAAGATCGGCGAAGCCGGAGGAGAGAAGAGAGAAGAGAAGAAGTCACTAGAATAACTAGCACTTTAGTCTATTTTACTATTAGTGATTTCTTACTCGAATTAGATGGGAAGGATAAGTATATCGAAACCCGAGCTAAAATCTTTCTCATCGTTATTAACGAAGGTAGAAGGGGCCGGGAGAGAGGGAGCCACTATTCTAATTAGTATTATTTCTTTATCTCTTAATATCACTAATAAAAAATGAAAATATTTATTAAGACGTCTAGTAAATACTAAACCTCTCTAAGATCGAAGAGATCGGCATCGCCGCTAATCTTATAAATACGGTTAGCTTTTCAAAATATAAGCTTAAGCCTCTATGCTTAGAACTTAAGCTATTCCCTAAAATAGATATTAGTAATTCATCACCTAAATCGAGTGAGAAATATCTACATCTAATCGGCTAGAATAGCCGAACCACTACTAGCAACGGAAATTACTCTCTCGATGAGAGCTTAGAGGGCACGATAACCTACCTATAGGTTAACGGGGACCTAATTCATTTAGTATACTATTAACCTTAGCTAAATTCTCACTCACGACAACGTAGTTAGCGCTAGGCCGGGAACGAGAGTAAAACCTACACGACTTAGACTAAGTCTAGTCGCAGGGTAAGGTAGAAAAAACTAGCTCCGAGCCAGGAGTAGACGGAGGATCCGTAAAACCGCGGAAAGCGCTTCTTTCGTCAGTACGCTGTCATTATTCTAATATTGTAGAACTCATAATTCTTATTAATAAGGCTAGCACCATAGCCTAACTAGAACTAAGTGTTTAGCCGAACTTTCTCGTACGTAAGAGGCTATATATATATTAGTAGCGTCTCTCACCCGAGTGAGGTGGGTAATACTTATATATCTTATAGTTAATCTGAACGAGGAAGAAAGAGACGAAGAAGGCTATAGTAAAGGGCTTAAGAACCAAAGTAAAGGCTGAAGTGAATTGAACCTCACCCGTATTACTGTAACAATACAAAACGGCTGTCTCACCTAAACCGGGTGGGAATTTAATCACTTACTATTGTTAGTGAATGGCTATTCAACTACCATATCATTATCTTCGTTATTAATAATTGAGACGGCCTATTCATACGATGAATTAAGGCTGTCTTTATACTCGCAGCGACTCGAGGGCGAGCCGCTTTTTAGAGGGGGGGTAACTATCACGAACCCACCGTTGTCCCTAAGTACTCTACGCCCTCCACCCGAATCGGGTGGACGGTATAGAAAGAAAAGGAAAGGATAAGGCAAAGGACGGTTAAGATATAAGGCTATCGGTTAACGCTGCCTTACCCTTTTCACGTGACAGAAAGAGGGGAAGCTATAAGAGTCTCCTCTCACCTGAATCGGCTGAGAGAGAACTCTTCCTTTTTCTCAAGCGTTGAGTCGTTGTCAATAGGGCTACGTGAATAGAATAAGGCATTCAGCTACTCTAATTCCTTTGTACCTACTGCGTTGCGTAGGTCCCTGATAAACGCCGTCTTTTCCATATTTGTAGATAAATAGTGTTAGCGTATGAACTAAACATTTGAGTATTTAAATAGTTTAGGCGCTAGCAAAAGGGCAGGGGCTTTGCCTGGTTCCCAGGTGAAGGTCTGAAACAGGTGCGCTGCTGAAAGGCAGGCCTTAGCAGCCACTGGGAGCCAGCTTTGGTCCTCCTTGTAGCTCGCTCTGCTGTTCAGGGAGTGCTGCAGGAGATCTCGGCTAATAGCTCGGTTGGGATTTGGGTTCGGGCGGTCTTTTCTCAACCTCCAAGAGCAAATTGTATATGGCAAATGGGCTTTACTTCGCGAGTAAATGGGTATCTAAGGGTTTTGCAGGCAGACCTTCTCAAGTCCCCAACTTTCCGTAGAACTTGTGCTTTGCAGTTCGTGAATTCGACTTCGACTTCAACCGATTAATCTTACGGGTTTCTTAGGAACGCTGGCTGACAGATAAACCGACTGAGAAGCACGGGCGCAAGCCCATCCGCTTTGAAGATCCTGGCTGAATACCCGAAAGACATCAAAGCATTGGGTCCTTTCCAGCATTTTCAACTTTTCTATGACGAAATTCTGATCTCGCTTAGAAGTAAGTTCGGGAGCAATGATTCCAAGAGGAAGCAGTATGGCAGTGTTGAATTGCGAGTTGTCGGAAAGGAGACGGAGAAGGCTCATGCCTAGTTTTGAGAATCTTTTGATCTGTCTCTGGGCCATAAATGGCGGAAACGCCAGCGTCGTCGTAGTATACGATAGCTCATCGCGGTCTCTGAGCTGCTTGAAGAAGTGGACTCGGCCTGAAGTCCGGTAGATCTCTCCGATAATGAATTCTTCATCCCCATTGTCACGGTTTGACGGGCCAGCCGTGGAGGATAGAGACCCTTGTAGGAAGCAAGTGTCAGCGTTTCCCGAGAGCTCTGCCACCTTCTTTTTCGTGGTATAACTTGGGAGGAAGTCCAAGTTTCCGTCCCAACTATCAATATCGAATGAGGAAACGTCTTGAGCGTTCTCACTGATGCGACTCAGTAAAGCTGCAAAGTTGGGCCTCGTCTGTTCTGACATATTCGCGAATAGGGTTTCCTTGGAGCTCCCGCCGGACTTTGGGGACAATCTTGCGTCAGCCACCAGCGCCAGAAGTTGATTGTAAGAAACAAGGTTGTAAAGAAACAGGTAAAGTGGCGTTTTCCTGAGCTGAGCAGTAACTGGAGTGATGCCTTCATATCGCAAAAAGTCCTGAGCAAAGTCCAGATACGGTCGGATGTTGTCGTAGACTTCGCCGGAGAGCTTTCCAAAGACGGCCATTAAGGCTGCGGTGGTAACAAGACATAAATTATCGGATTCGACATTCGTCAGCCGGAACCAGAAGCTAGCATTTGAGAGAGTGTTGGACTCCAATCTCGATCCTGAGGTATCAGAGCTCCACGTCCTGCCGGAGATCTGATGGCAGCTTCTCAACGCCCGAAGTCGCAAGCGGAAGATCTCGCGGTCCAAAGATGGCAGATTTCTTGATCTGGCATGCAGCCCTGCAATAGCCATCAGCGTCCAGCGAACAGGCTCATATTCGATGGCAATGGGGGCAAGGCACGACAGGAATGGATTATCCGTCTCTGAGTGCGTCGGATATGTTCTTGCAAAGCAATTGATATAATGATCCCAGAGTATACGATCGAGGGAATTATTCGCACTTGCAGCGAAACGTAGATATGGTATTGTAAAAGGGTCCAGCCGTCCACGTACTTGACGTTGCTTGGCTCGTAGAAAAGTTGATGATTTGGAGTCAGTGATGTCACCGTTTGAGGCAAAACCACTGAAGCCCGGTTTTTGCGCCCTGGTATTCATCACCCGAGCATCTGTGCCTTGCACTCTAGCAGTCCGGCGTATATCCGGACGGATGGACGAGACGGGCCCTCTGCGCCTTATACCTTCTCGTACTGGATCATCTTCCCAAAGAAGCCGTGGCCGATAGCCTTCGCATAGGATCTTTAGACGCGTGCAATTCTCGCACGAAGGACTTCCCAGGTCGCATTTCTTCTTCCTAGCCGATCCCGGAGAAATTCAGTTGCCGCACCTGCATGAGCAACGGGGATTCATTGTATTTGAGTGGCACCTACCGTCGTTTGCATGTCAAACACCCACCTCTTTCGCGTCGCAGTCGAGTCATAAATGCGAAGAGACCGGGCCCTGGTACATATTATGACCATGGTTTTGCTTCAGAGAGATGAAATGGCTATTGTCAATGACAATATCAGTCCTTATCGGCGTCTCTGAATTCTCTTTTCGGACAAAGCCGTCATGGACACGATGGAGATGGCCGCGATCCACAAAGCAGGACTCCGTCAGCGTACCTTCCAACGAAGAGTCCTGAACTTGCGTGGCTGTATAAGTCAGCGGTTCCCCTTTCTAACAGGCCCTGTTGGGATGATGCCGTAGAGCGCGATCTCCGGTCTGTCTAGGACTGATGAACCCTTTTCGGGTATTGAACCAGGTTGGCAGGTTATTTGACCGCGGCTAACAACTGGAACACCACGAGGCCAATGCCGGTAACAAGGTAGATAGATTAATCAGAAGCATCCTGTTTGAAAGTTTGACTTACCGAAGGAGGGATTCCAGAACCGCTGGAAGATAGAGGCGGCTAATATGCACCCAAATTGGTATAGCTCCTCTTCCCAAAGTGGCGCTACTCTCCAAAGGACCAGCTGATTTCCCATCGTGGTGAACTAATGAGGATCTCGGACATTCATAGCCTGAGGGATACATATAGAACACCATTGTTGACTTCCAACCGAGTGCGTCTGTGCTTCCAGATCATCTTCCGAATCATCTTCACGATTCTCTCTTGCAAAGTTACCGTGACCTGCAAGCGGACTTGCCACACACCAGACACCATGGCTCCGGGGATTATCGAGTACCCTCCAACGGATGTCGTGACGCAGTCTTCAGAGTTACACAGCATGAAGCCATCCATCAAAAAGTTTGATCCGGCGAAACATCTTGCGTATGTGCCGCCAAAGAAGATTCATACTTTGGAAGATCTCTGCCTACCTCCTTCTCCGATTTCGCAGGTTGCCTCAACCGATCCATTCCCCCTACTATCTGAGGAGGCTCTTCTTGAGCATCGCCGAGAGTTGCTGTCCGATGAGGTTCTCAACAACTGCATGTACAGCACGAGGGCGGAGTCGGTCCAACTCCGCGGGATGGCCCCTAGATATGCCCCTTTCATCCACCAGTTCTGGACTTCTCCTGAAGTTCTCAAGATAGTTAGTGACCTAGCGGGAGTCGACCTGGTTCCTGTCATGGACTTTGAAATTTGCCACACCAATCTCCAATTGGGGCCGGATGGGTTGGGAGGCGTCAGAAATATCCCAATTATTCCGCCAGGGGCTCCTGAGCCAGAGAAGTCGTCGGAAGACCAGGCCAAGTGCGAAGGTCCTCCAGTGGCGGCTCCAAATTTTGTTGTCCCCTGGCATCGCGACTCATATCCATTTGTTTGCGTTGTCATGTTGTCGGATGCAAGATACATGAAAGGTGGCGAGACTGAGATCCAGAGAGGTGACGGCAAAACGACCAAAGTTCGAGGCCCACAAATGGTGAGTTTGTCAAACCCTTTAAGGCGCGAATTAGCAGCCACTGACATAGTTGTGCACTCCATTAGGGTAGCGCGGTCGTGCTGCAGGGCAGACATGTTTCTCACATTGCACTTCCAGCCGCCAATATGTCCGAGAGGATCACCATTGTTGCTTCATTGCGGCCGCGGGACCCTATGCTTCTGGATGACTCTTCACTGATGAATGTCCGAAATAAGTCTCGACTGTCGGAGATGTATTACCAGTGGACCAGCTACCGTTTGCATTTGCTCGCTGAAAGGTTCCGGCTCGAAGCCGAGAAACTTGATGCTGCATATCGCGCGGCGATTGAAAAGACGGACGAAGGCAGGCCAGGTGATTGTAAGGAGAACGTGTTCGATGTGGAGAATCTGGAGAGGTGGATGGAAAAGCAGATGAGATATATGAGACGGACCGTATTTGAGATGAGACCGCTAACTGCGGACGACAACATCATCAAGAATGAGATTGAGGAAGTCTAAACGTGGGCAGAGAGACCAGACGGCACGACGCTTACAAATGCGCCTAGCATCCAGGGTACTTCCAATGTATGCTATTTCACCTTTCGCCATCCGGACATCGCTGCCCGCTGTACTCCAATCCAGCTTCGTGTGCTTCAAGTCATCTGGTTCGTTGTGCACCCCAAATATTTCCCGAGTTGCTGGGGGTTTATCACCTCGGCCCTCTCCATCAATTTCTCGAAGGCTCTCGTTCCGTGGAGCCATGGGTGAGAAGGCCGAGAGGCAGGTGCCATTGGACATTGATATTGACTGAATGAGCTTGGAGAGCAACGTTTTGCCCCAAATTAGATTTGGAGGCATCAGTCCAATAATTACCGGAGCAGACGGGGAAGTGTTATTGAACCTGGAAAATTGGTTCATTTGCGGAGTGCGAATGCCGACTCGCTGTGTGGTCACGTTTTCTTGGCTCGACTGAATAAGGATCCGTCCACGTGATGCGTGAAAACGCGTCCGACGTGTTGCGACGCGTTCAGTTCTCGAATGATTCGGCATCTGACTTAGAGCCCAGTGTCCCGCACATCGCATTCCATCGAGGTCTTCTCGGGACAGGAGGCGCTATGAATTCTTCTCGCCGCCCACTCCAGTACCTCATGTGCCAGCTGTCAGTCTGCAAAAGGCTGGGAAGACGCGTCGAGACACCTCTTAGGCACTGTGTTGACCCGATTATTCTGCTATGAACCTGACAGCCCCTCCCTCGACCGAGCGCCTCACCTCGAGACCAGCTACGGACTGTTCATGAGAGTAGGTATGCAGGATGGCAATCAAATAGCAGTAGAAACGCATTGACATGAAGAACCACCGGGCACTGGTCCAACTCGCAATTACTTCTCACCATCCACGGGCTATGAGGAGTATTCCCGAGCAAGCTGTGACCTCTAAATCATGGATCCTGCTTCAATTCTCCCGCGATTGCACATGGCTACAGCCGCCTCAAACCACCATATCGAGGTGAGGACCATCGAAGCAGAGGACACCGCCCCGAAGGCACTGATTGGACATCTTCACGGACGGTTCGTCTCGGCAAGCAGTAGTCATACAACAGGATGCCATTGAGCAGAAAATTGTCCCGCTGGAGGGTATTTCCAGCCACTATCAAATTCCACAACATGGTGAGGCGCGCAGACCATACAGACCAGCCGCGGAAAAGTTATCTTCAGGTGCTGGCCGGGTTTGGGCACTGCCCCGAGGGAAATAGTGCTGCTCGACCGGTTGAGAGCAGACTTGGTCTGATCAGCCGAAGTGAAGACATCATTGGCGGGCATTACCAGACAGAGGATGCCGACTACAAGACTGTGGCGGTATAGTGTATGACACCATGAGAAGCGTAGCGGAAATTTTAGTTCAATCACAGACAGGAATCTCCCAGTTGCGCGCCTTCCTCTCTGCAGTCCTGGTCGCTAAGTCAATGATCCATTTTGCGTTGATTACGAGTACGGAAAGCTGCTCGAGAGCTGCACGACGCGTTCTCAAGTTCGGCACATGAGCAGTTGGGAAAACAGACTCACCGGGGAGGGAGAACTAAGGACGATGCTTGTCTTGGAGGTCGACTCCTGGATGCCATGCAGACATTTGTCGAGCAGAGTTTTCTAGGAGTGGCAGTACGTTGAGGACTCTGCAGAGCCAAAGGAGCCAAGGGTGAATTGTGCAACACTTCTTCTTTCCTGGGATACTCGATGCTGCAGCTATGGTGGGGCTCTGAGCATACAAAATGATCATGAGACCGCAGACATGATCGCTACTATCTTGGTCCGACTTCGGTCTGCCCAAAGGGCGGCTTCATTCAGTCGATGTGCAAGGTATTGTAACTTCCGCCACTCACGCTGGGCCGTGCGTTGGTAGAGGGACGTATGAAGAGACTGATCAGGTGTTAGACGTGCGACCACCGAAAAAGCCTAACCTGCGTCTAAGCTTAGGCTTCTAATGCTTTCCCCAGCAAGCCGCCCCACGCTTTGTTGTCAAAAACCTTTTCTTAAGGGACAAAGCGGCTACGAAACACTGAAGCCCATTACCGAGAGGCAGGAGGGTTGAATGTGGGAAAATCCACAGCCTCCAGGTAAGCTTCGCCTCCTGCTACCGCGATGACTAGAATTTGGTCAATCCCCTCATTCGTTGTGTGCAGCTCCATCGAAGAGACTGTTGCGCCTCACATTGTTTTACAACTCTCACTTTTCCAATGTGAAACAGTGACACGCATTCCTCAGTCAGAATAGCATGATTTGGGCTATCGCTTCAAACCTCTCTCCAGAAGCGGACCAGAGAGTGACGAGAATCACAGCCCGGACATGTCTTGAGCATCGACTGATCAATACGGCACAACAGGCATGGGGGTGGCCAATGATGCTTAGGCCACCTAATCCGTCCCTGCAGGCTGCGCGGAAAAGGGGCGATGATCTGATAAGATAATACCTCTCTG